CTAGTGAAGTGTTCATGTACACTAAAAATAGAGCTTATTCTCACAAAACACCTCAAATAGTGTTATCAAAAGTTGTCCCCTTCGACCACGAACTTAAACATTGAATATATGTTGACGTCTGAACGTGTGTTATATCGACATTCAAATGAATATTTCGTCATTACATTAGTTACATTTCATTTAATTGCATATGGATTAAGAAGAGGGAATTTTCCCATTAGGATTAAATCGCTAACGGCACCCAAAACATCAGTCGTATTTCATCAGTCGTATGTCACTTGGTCTAAGAGGCCGTGATTTTCCCAATCAAGTTCGGCCGATTACATTCCAGTCCCAGAAGAAAATGGCGCAAGATAGACTTACAGCTCGAGACTCTAGCCCATCAAGAATAGTGGACATGATGGAAGACTAACCAACAGGTAATATGACCAATTTTCTCACGATTTTAAAAAAAATAGTGACTGACACAATAAGATACGTAGCGTGATTTATTGCTAAAAGTCACTGAAACAACATAAAAATATGGTCCACTTTGTGTTCCATCGAAATTTTCTGCTGACACGGAATCCGCTAGTTGATCACGTGACTTCATTCGTTGGACTACATTCTAGCAGACGACACTTGGAATTCCGATTACCGCTTGGGATTATAAGGAAATTCGGCCGAAAAAAAATGGTGACGTTTGGTAATAACTGAAATCCGCCATTTTGTATTTGTCAAAGTATACATTAAAACATTTTACCTTGCTTGAAAATACTGGATTCATTCTACTAGCTGATATTGTACAGAAAACCCATGTTTATCAAAACAAACTAATGCGGAGGTCGCGCAAGGTCGCTCATGTAAATTCTTAATCATTTCCTAAAATCCACGAATAATAGGTTTCCACGAAATTAGGTTACTTTACTATACTGTGAGTCTTTGCGTTTATAAAAAGTGAACATGAGCTCATATTATGTCAATTTTAAGACAAAATTGTTCATATTTTGGTTAAAATTTGTAAAGACATTCTTATATAAGTCAAACAGTATTATTTTGAAAATAGAGAAAATATTCAAAGAAAAATACCTTTTCCTTACTCACTCATAAGCCCAAATTGGCGGAATCATCATTTTTATACGCTCACATGGAAATGTGGCTACAGTTTTTATCTGATCTTGATGAAACTTGGTATGCATGTATCTATTGATGAGATTTCGGTCAAGTTCGAAATTGGTAATAATCAAGAGTTGTTGCCCTTGATTTAGTAAAAACCCTACAAATTTGTTTTGTAGTCATAACACAGAGTGCAGTTTTATCTGATCCCGATAAAACTTGGTACGCATGTATATATGGACAAGATCTCAGTCAAGTTGGTAACAATCGTGTGAACGGTTTTGGAGTTATTGCCCTTGAATTTATTCAATGCGTCTAATTAGGCTTGTAGGCCTAGTAGAGACTACTTTTTTTTTTATAGGATCTTGATGAAACTAGGTATGAGATCTCAGTAAAGCTTGAAATTAGTAACAATCGAATGATTGGTTTCACATATTAAACCACTACAGACTTTGTTATCATTTCTGACAGCTGGTATAGTGGGCGTATGTTAACTTGTCTGGCAAGCTATCTTACAATACAGGTGTCTGTTTCTCTTTTCAAACGATATTTCACAAGGAAATTTATATCCTGGAGGGAACTGAAGTATAATTTTTTGCAATTTAAAGCAAAAAAAAAAAAAAAAAAAATTCATATATGATTGATTTAAACAATCAGATGCATGCAAGCTTTTTGTATTAGTTGGTTAATGGATAGTTACTTAGATTTTAATTTGATTAAACAGGGATTCTGTTAAATGGTTATGACACCAGGTAAGTCCACTGATGAATAAATATACTCTTATTTACCTATTTTGATAATTTAAATTCTATGTTCAAGACTGACAGATAAACCTATCTGTCCAAATCTTGCCTTGGTAACCGAGCATGCTTATGTATATTGGTAAATTGTAATGTAGAGCATAGATAACAGCTGGTGGCCTTTCCATCTGTCATAAATTGCTTACAGAGTACAATTCTGAACAAGTTTAATTTTATTTATATTTCTAATTTGAATCAAAGCTGCCAATGTACATATTTTTCTTGCTGACAAGTTATGTATCAAAATCGTTAAAACTAACCTAATTTTGTGAGCCAAGATTGAATTATTAAAACTTTAAAGAAAATGTAAAACAACAATGTCCTTATTATGTCTTTTTATATTTCAGGAAACTGATTCATGAGACAATATACTTGATAGACCAGCAGCTCCATCTTCTTACATTGCTAGCACTGGTGATTTTCATTCATCAAAAAACGTTTATATTGTTATCAAGTCGACTATTGATTAACACAGTTTCTGAAAGAATTTTTCGTTTTTCTATTGAAGATGAAATGGATATCATGTCATAACATGAATAAAACTACATTTATATGAAAATGTTTGTGTATTAGTTGAGCCATTAAGCTAGGCGCAAACGACGGACTTTTGTCCGTTGGAAACAAAAAAAAAATTTTGTTTTCAGGCTGTCATTTGCCGCACATGATAGATATTAGCCGCACACGATAGACTTTTTGTTCAAAGAAAACATTACTTATGCCGCTTTGTCACGTGACTTCTATTTCACATGACTACATAAGTTAAAATGGCGAGATATTTAACAAACAAGAGACGTAAACTGAAATTGTTGTTAGCTGTGTGTCTATTAATGCGCCAAAACTAAGAGCCGATAGGTTACGGCTTCCTGTGATGCATTTTGGGAATATATATTATTAAGAAATACATTCAAATTGCTATAAAAACGGATGTAGATATCGTATAACAAAATCAAAGGCACCATGTGATAGATTTAATTAAGAGCTATGGCTTTTTGTCAGACCACCAAAGGTTAAGGTTAAAAGTTTTGAAAATAACTTTATTTGGAAGCCTATAAAACCGGAAGAAGGTGTCAGAGATCAAAGATCAAAGATATAAATTGACATTATAGATCAATGACCTTTGACCTTGAAAAGTTCAAGGTCATCCATGTTAAAGGTCAAAAATGCAAATCTAATAAATTATAAAACCTGTTCCTTTTTTTAAAGTAAAAAGCCCAGACAGATTTACCTTAACCACATATTGGCCAAACTAGTTACCTATTAACCTGCAGAATATTATAGGTGACAATTATATACTTTGCGAGTAAATAAATAACAAATATATAAGGTAAATGTGAATCTAGCCCGGATGTGTCACGCCCATCCCAAAATTTTTGTCACATCTGTTATTATGTGTACAATGCTAAGCTATGTTAAAAATTTCAAGTGTCTAAAGTTATTAGATCATGAGATATCCATACTTTCATGTTAAAGGCTTGAGATTTAACGGCAAATGTCAAATTACGCACAGTTACTATAGAAATCAGTTCAAAATTTTAAAAAGCGCAATTTTGATCAAACGTCTAGTGTTATATACCATTTGAAAGAAGAGCCCGTAATAAAGATATTTTAGAAATTTTGTCATATGTAAATTAAGTCACGTGACACAGCTCTTTGAAATTAAAAATCGCTATTTTCAAATGGCTGTAAAACCGGAAGTTTACATTGCACAGCAAAACTGAAGACACCATCGGATCGATCTCGTCAGGGATAACAAGTTTTGTGCGGGTCATAAGGTCACCAAAGGTCAAGGTCACGAATTATGGGCCTTTAAAAATTTTGCATTCACTGGATAAATATGACCGGAAATATAAGAAAAGCAAAATCAAAATTCAAAAATCGGCTTCCTGAGAATTGTTAGCAATCGATTGAAGATAACATAGACATCAACATCACACACATCCGATTAGCCCCTAAGGCTCAATTTCTCGTTTTACAAAAGTTGACCTGTTATTTCCGGGTCGGATTTTTTAAATAGTTTATCTTTACATAGGTAATTCTAGCTTATTGCAAAAATAATTTTTCAAATATCTTCAAAATTCCGGAAGTTGAAATTTTCAGTTTAAGATATCGAAAATATGAAAATAGAATTTACTTCGCAATCAAAATGACTATCTACCTGTAAATTTTCGGATTGATCGAAATTAAATTGTAAAAGTTATAAAATACTCAAATTTTGAAAATCAAAAAGTCAGAGACAAAAGTCAAAATTCTGAAATTCTTGATTTGTCAATCTGTAGAACTCAGTTCAAAGCAGTTAACTTAAAAAGTCCGATCAAGATCAGATCGAAGTTAGAGCCGTTAATTAGAAAAAAAGAAAAAAAACATTTTTGTGGCATGCGTAGTTTAGACTGGGCAATGGCAGCAGAATTCGAAAAAAAGAAAAAAAAAGAAATGGCGGCAGAATTCGAAAAAAAAACAAAACAAAACAAAAAAAAAAAAAAAAAAAAAAACATTTGCAAAACAAAGCAGTGCGTTCGATAGAACTACCACCACTATTCTCCCCCGCCCTGCTAGATAAATTTGAAAAATTAAAAGGGCTAACTAAAATTTCATTTGGGCTAATAGTAATAATTGCTGTGTTCCAGTGTGTTTCTTTGATGCGCAACTGTATAATAATCTCCCTTTTTGCTTTCTTCGACAACATAATTTTGTTTCAGGGGAAACTTTCAGAAGTCTTTCATATGTATTTAGAATTGGTGAGAGGACCATATCAAACATAGTTACAGATACATGTGCAGCTCTCTACACTGTTCTTAAAGATGAAGGTAAGCATCAAAATCAAGATAAAAATATCGATATTCTTTATTCTGTAAGCATCTATAAAATAATCCTTCTTATTTTTCATAATAAAAGGTTCAATAAAGCTGCGTGTAGGTCATGTTTGATTCTGGCATGGGTCTTTTTGGCATAGTTTGAGATGATGTACTTGGATTCAAGTCTGGATAATTGTTTTCAAATTGAGTTTGAAAAAGAATATTCTGAATATTATTCATAGCCTGCATACGGGGTCTCAGTTCCATGGTAGATAACGTTTTGGAAACATAGGTACCAAAAGCTACACACGGATCAATGCCTTTTCCTTGGTGCTATCAATGGTCGCTTGGTTGATCCAGTGTCTGCGAAAGAGTCATCAAGGTTAAAAGGTATATCCACACTGACGTCTTCATCATCATCGTCATCTCTTGATCCCCTATCTTTGACTTCCGATGGAGGAGTCTGCGGTCTCTAAAAAAACAAAGTACATACAAATGTTATCACTTTCAGGTTCCAAACACGAATGGCGAGTGGTTACAAATCAGTAAGGACTTCGAAGATAAGTGGAATTATCAAATGTGCATGGGGGCGATTGCCGGAAACACATCTCTCTACGCAAACCACTTAACATTGGATACGTATTCTATAGATACCTGTAGGCCTATATTTGATATAGAAGGTCTCTCTCCTTTATTCCTGATTAAAAATCCAAATTTATCTAACAACCACTTGTTTTTCTTTGTCATGGTTTTTGCAGCACTTCCACTGCTAGCAGGTTTTCTTGCTCTGTTGAATTGAGATTTCAAAGAACTCATTTTTTTTTTACTTCAAGCAATGAAATTAAAATATCCAGGCCAAGTTCGTAGAATTAATTGAGTTATATAGTTAAATTTTCCAGGGGGATACAGGTAATTTTGCCGGTAAGGCCTATTATGTAAAAACAAATGATAAAAAATTTGAAAGTAGGGTGACCAAAGCCGGGACTACTTCATTTCTGGGAAAATGACTAATAACAAACGGTTAAACTCTATCAATATCATTCATCGTGGGTCATAGCCATAGATAGGGCCTAGGCCTACAATTCTACATAGGCCCACTATGTATTGTTTACCTGCTACTTCCAACGTGCCAGCAATGTCCGAGAGAGCCGACTCTTTCTTAACTCTATCGGCATAGTCTGGAGACGAAACCAAATATAAACATGGATTTTCTGCCCATTTTTTCTACCAGAAGCTGTTTGTTTCAAACGTCCACACGAGTTCCGCCATTTTGCTCCACGTGATGAAATGGCGTATACTGATTGGTTTATGACGACAAATGTTTCGTCGATATGTTTTTGCTCAACGCACACGACAGACAAAAAACAATTGTTCCAGAAACATTTGTTCAAATTTCAAACAAGTTTGATGTTCAAACAAATGTGTCGTGGAACAAAAAACATTGTTTTTTGCCAACGCACACGACGGATTTTTGTCGCGAAACAAAAGTCCCTCGTGTGCGGCAGGCATTACTAAGCTTACTTATTAGATCGTTTGGGTTAGGTGTTACCCAGCCCTTAAATTGGTCACATCTACACCTTACATCTTACACTATTTAAATCGTATTTGTTTAAAGAAGTATTCAGTAACACCGATATTAATGTTTACTATATCTACCCAAATCTAAGTGTAAACATTAACACTATTTTAAGTGTATAAGTTTGGAGAAAGTGTAAAATAAGAAATTGGTGTTAATTCATATATTTTACACATTAAGAAGCGTATAAGGTTATACTGAGTGTGTGTAAAATAATCATATCGGGTGTATACACTCAAGACCTACACCAACAACCGTGTAAACAGTAACACCTAACAAAGAATATTCGGAGTTTACACCTCTTCGCGTTAACTAACACAATCCGTATTAGTGTAAGGATATCCAGAATATAGTGTAAACTTGCACCAACATGGTGTAATAATGCAACACTAAACGTGGTGTAAGGTTACACCATTTTGGGTGGCAACCTAGTTTCCACTCAAAATGGTGTTAACTCTCTCATTATTTTGTACTGTGAATTTCAATCTATAAATTGTTATTTCTTCATTTGTAGGCTTAACTGACCATTTGTACGAAAAATTGAACATCTGTAAGCCAAAAGCTTAAAAGTTTAAAATTGTCTTAAGAAAAATAAAATCAACTTTTGTTGATCGAATTCAACATTTGTCAAGCGGAGCTGTTGACTGCTTCTAAAAACAGACTATGGTTAAGTGTCGTTGCTTAACAGAAAGTAGAGTTTCTGATTCCGATCTATGTCCCAAAATGGACACTTCGTCATTTTTGTGACCGTTTTTTGACACTTATTTTTTGGATTAGTCTTAATTTTTTAACTTTCACCCCACCCCCTTATCCTAACCCCCAAAATATGTTAATTCTTAATCTATTCTGTCTTGTGTACTTAATTATTATGTCTGTATCTAAATTGCTTATTGATTACATTGTAGCGCTTCTTTATCAACTAGCGCTTAGCATGTTATCTTTTATCCATTGTTATTGTTGTATATTTATCACTTATCTTACGGAGTTATGTATCATTATTATTTTGTGCTTGATAAAGATTCCTGTATGTGAATTGAAACATGGCAGGAATTAAAGAGGGAGTAGTATATCCATAATAGTGTTCTTATTTATTTATCTATAATTCTGTTCGAATTTTTAGTAAATTAAAACTTACACAAATCCCCATTAATATTAAAATCATCTATTGTCACATTAACTGCCAGTTCCAGCCACTAATGCCTACATCCACTAATGCTTACAGTCACTATTGCCTACAGAATAATGAAGCAGTTATTATTGAAATGATCTACATAATTATATCCTTCCGATTGTCTGAGCAAACCAAATGTTTTTTTGATTGTTTTCTATATTACTTAAAAAAACATTGGAATAGTACTGTGTTGTTAAAAATATGTATGTGTCCTAGAAAAAAGTATAATTTGCATAATGTGTGCTCATATTTTTATATAGTGTTGGAGTCATACGAAACTACGTATATTATAGTTCTTACATGGCAATAACACACACGAACGTAGTTGATAACCATATTAAATCTTATCCTCGATTTAATAAGTCGAATGTTTTTAAGGTTTTCAAAAAGAAAGATACAGATAAATCGACCACTACGCCCCACTTTCTCGTTGGCATCCCAGCTGTATGCTAAATTGTTCGTTTCATATTGTTTCAGAGCTATCTCGTATTTACTTAAGTTTAAATTCACCATACTGTTATATTTTTAGCGACCGATGCCTCAAACTAGAAATGGGTCTCTGTACTATTTCAGTATGAAAAAAACATAAATCTTTGTCAAGAAGATTTGTCAAAACCAATAGTCAATAAGGAAGAGAAAGCATTATTATTTGCAATTATTTCTAATTAATGCCTGACTAGATGTTTTATTTGACAATAAATTATTAATAGATTTATGGATTAACAAATATACTCGTTTATGGGAATTGAATTCCATTTTTAAGCAATTATTTTTCGTTCTTCTCAAAGATAATATCAGTCTTAATTGGATTTTTGCTAAACCAGAAAATAATCCAGCAGATTTACCTTCCAGGGGCCTACAATGTAGGCAATCTTCTTATGTTGTTTCAATGAATTTTAGAAATTTTTTTTTACTTATTTACTTTATGTCAGCCACTATTTTTTTTTAAAATCATTGTTCTTTGAAGGAATTGTCATTAGTTATAATGACTTGAAGAAATATACTAAGAAATGATAATTACATGTATACCACTGGGTATCCATACAACGTGTTTTTCTCGACTTGCTTATAGATCAAATATTATACACGACAGATGACGCATTTTGCAGCCGTTGTGAGTTGGTTACTCATAAATTATGGATTAAGGTGAGGGAAAAATTGATTTCAAAAAATCGAAAAAACCAATTCTTATTATTTATAGAATATCTGAAGAAACATCAAGGACATATTTTTATAGACGAAATTCAGTGTTGAATCCTTAGTTTCAAAAGTTGCGAGTTGCACAATCGTGACGACTACTTGCATCAGGGTTTTCAATTAGTTTCAAGCAGTTTTGGCTGGGTAGTTTGTTCAACAATGCGTTCAATGCCATGTGCAGCTAGAACAGTCTGGGAACAGAACAGAAATATATGAAAATAAAGTCAAAATGAAAAATATGAAATGATTGCAGACATGATGGAATTCGTCTTGATTTAAACAATATTTATTTATGCAAAAATTAACATATAAATTACATAGCTACAAGACTAAAAGAAAGGTGTGTTGGAAGAAAGAAAAGACAAAGGGTTGACAAAATGCAGACTTGACACAGTATATACAAAAGAGTAGAATATCATTATATAATATTGGAGAGTGTATTTAAGGTAATTATGTGTGAAATTCTGTGGTGAGGGAATTCTTGTAAAAGGAGGTGAGAGAAAAAAAAGTCTTAAAGATAACCAATAAGGCTTGATAGAATATCGTCCTCAGCGTATTTCCAATGGGTCCTGAGAAGAATCAAATCATGAAATCAAAAACTGCAGCGTTCAAAATTATGAGTCGAAGGATGGGGTAAATTACATTGCTGTCCCAATTCTGGTGTGGGTGTGTAAAAACAAATGCACTTAAATGTTCAAGTAGAGATGGATAATAAGGCGATTGTTGAAGTGATATAGGAATAATTGAAGTATAATGTTTATATATGTAATTTAATGATGAAATAACGTTCTGTAGGCATCACTGCCTAGATTTCTGAAGTTAATTCCATCAAGCTTTTCATTTGTTAATCGCTCGTTTCCCCTAATTTCATATTAGCAAAAAAAAATTCAATTCTATGGACCTATTGTTTTTATGTTTTGTTTATGCCACCAGCCACAGAATAAATAGCATTGAACTTCAAATTCAATAAGATTCAAATTCGGACTATGGTCCTAATCAAAGTTAATAGGATGGAAAAATACCCCGAGAACAACATAGTCTAAAGATTTAAACTGTCAAATTTCGGAGGTCTATAAACTTTAGGTTTTGAAACACAATTACAGCATCTCCATATACTAGACTAGGTCAAAGTCACGATTAAATTTTCAAAATATTTAACCGGAAATTTTAAAAAGTCAAATTCGAAAGTCACAATTTGGTTACCAAAAAGATTTAGGTAAAACGACCCGATTTAAATAGACAATAATTATTTTGTGCTTGATAAAAATTCCTCTATGTGAATTGAAACGTTGCAAATTTAAGAAAGTATATCCATAATAGTGTTCATATTTATTTAATGTTCTACTTCTAAATGCCATTTACACAAGGTGCAGAAGAGTAGGACGTAAAAATCCATTGATTTCATTTCATTTCTAAATGCCATTTAAAGATTAAACTATATAGTGTTCTTTATAATAGGAAAGAGATGATATATAGATCACGTGACAGAACCCAGAACAGTTAAAAATTGCAATATTCAAATTGCTATAAGATCGGAAGTAAACATCGTAAGGCTACAGAAGAAATGAATATATCATGGATAGATCTCATCAAGGGCAATACATTTTGTTAATGTTAGATACCAAAATCACGCAAATTAGACTTAACCTTGAGGCCCCATTTTGAGGTTTACAAAAGTCTGTGATATCAAAATGGCAGCTTACAAGCTATTTCCGGGTTGGAGTTTTTCGTATTTATTTGAGTTGCATATACCGGCATAGATTAGAAATAGATTTTTGTATATCTTAAAGATGGGTTTCCCTCATTTTTAGTTTGAAATTAAGTAAACTTTTTGATTAATTAGTGTTTATAATGAATTATCGTGTATTCTTAATCATATCATTATGTTCTTATCGCATATAATAAATGTCCTTATATGTACAATCTGGTTAACCTAAAAAAGACTTTTTGATGTTTCTTAATCGGTCACTCATTGGAATTCTGCTGGTAATTCTCTTCTAATTTAGCTAAGTACGAATTAATTATGGACATGTGAGTCAAACTGGTATTTTTCCAAGTCATTAGAATACCTCTACTTTTTATTCATATAAGTATTAACATTTTAATTTTCATCAATGAAAATAAGGGAACCCATCTTTAAAAACTCTAGAATTCAAAAGTTACTAGAGGACAAGGACGAAATTTTGATTTAAATATATGTGTCGTATATCATTGGAAAGAAAAGATAAAGCGTAATAAGATTTAAGGCGAATTTTTGACGTACGTAAATTAGTTCAGAGGTCATTAAAGTTAAAAAACTCAATTTTCAAATGGCTATAAAATTGGAAGTAAACATCATACAACATCAGTGAATATATCATTGGATAGATTTAGTCAGAGGAATTGATTTGGTTCAGGTCACAATGTCACCAAGGGTCACTTAAGCCTTTGAAGATTTTACAAAGAAATTCAACCAGAAATAAAAAAGAAAGCAAAATATAAATTAAAAAAATAGACTTCCGTATATTTTTGCGCAATCAATTATAGTTTCCTCAGATACCAAAATCATGCAAAGCAGACTTAACCCTCATCTTTCTATGCACAATTGTAGGTCTACCTAATTGCAAAGAGAATTTTAGAAAAAATTTTGCAAGCGAACAGCGTTATAACAGTAAGTTTTTCAAAATTTTGAAAATTGAATTTAGTTTGCAATTTAAATTTATCTCAGTCTGTAGCAAAAAACTTTAAAATAAAAAAAGATAAAAGTGAATATTTTAGGTTTTGCAGTAAAATCTTTTCATTAATCATATGACAGAACACAAAAAATTCGTTAAGGATCAGAAAACATTAACCATCTAGGCTATTCAGGTCTCGTGCTAGAGCAATCCAAAGTAAATATGTAATATTTATCACCATGTTTTGTCTACAAATATCTCAGATTGTGTAGTACAACGACGTATTTTATCTAGATTCAAACAGTATAAATCATTTTCATTTTGTCGAAAAAATGCAGCTATTCTCCCAAATCCACTATTACTTATCACTAAAACATCAGACAGACTAAGAATTACTTGATCTAGTATCACTTTACGCCAACCATTGCATATATCAGTTTTATTTGATCTTTCAACATGGAACACTTTACCTGGGACATCAGAATAGACGTCTGGAAATATGGATCTGGCTTTTTCTCGAACAGTGTCACTATCAGTACTAATAAATATTCTATATTTAGAACTGTCATTATATTTTTTATAAAATTGCCATAAAACATTCATATTGTTTAAACTATTTACCACTCTAGAGTCATGTGGAATCGTTGGATTTTTTCCAAGTCGTATCTGAGCACTGATCAATTTTAGTCCTTGTTTTTTCAGATCTAAAAAAGGGTCAAGTTTTTCTCGAATGTATGGCCTTAACTTAAAAATACTTTGCCATACTACATTATATATTTCTGACATTGACAGGTGCTCCAACCACTTTAACTGTTTTTCATATCTTTTGTTTTGTCGGAGATAAAACACGAATTCTAAATTTAAAGAAAAATATATTACTTCTTCTTTATATTCTTGATCTAGATCCATTTCTATCATGGATTTCCTCAACTTGTCGGAATAACCATCTAGAGCCTTAATTCTCTTTGAAGTTTTACTTTTAATATCATTATTATCCACTATCCAGTTAATTTGATTCGGTTTGAACATTTGTTTTATATCACACGAATCGTTCATTATTACACCAAATTGTCTGTTCATCATAACAGATATAATATATGAAGCCACAATTCCTTTTTGTCTATCACCATATCCTCCACATGAGTTCTTCCCATCACAGATATAAATAACATATTTTGAACTGTTGGCATTTGAATAACTGAAACCTGTGTTCACATCAGACCTTGTTCCAGTATTCATAATCTGGTAATGATTTGAATAAAAGATGGTCGAAATAGACAGCACACCAGCAAACAGCAGGGCGAAGAACAGTAAATTCTGAATAAAAATTTTTCTAAATAAAGTTTACTGTTTTCTACATAATGTACTTGATTAATGAGAATTTGAAACTGTTGATTGTTGAATAACAGTTTAAAGGGACAGCAATTTTTCCCAATAATACCTTAGTCTCAGAAACGGATTTTTTTTTTAAGCTAAGCCAATCAGTAATATTATTCACAAAATCATTCGTCAAAATTCACGTGTGTTCAAAATTATACGCAATTGAATGTTAAAATGACGAGTCGCCATTTTAAGAAACCCTGTGAACGGCGAAAATCACCTTGGTTAAAATATTCCACCAAGGTGGAAAAAATTGCTAATTTAATCGCAGAAATATCGCAACAAAGCAATAATCATCAATCATATTAAATTAAATTTAACCTGCATTTCCAAATATGGTATCTGACCATTAACTCACGTAGTAATTACCTTATATTTTCTAATCCGTACAGCTACCATTCTGAAATATATCAAAATAAATATAAATTGAAAATGTATAAGGTGGAGTAGACGGTGTAAAGAGAAAATGCATCGATTCACTGGCAAGTTTTATTGACTTGATACTTCAATGCTTTTTAATGTTGCAAGACACGAGTCGTAAATTCGTAATAAATCGATCGGTATATATTAGGTGTCACAAAAAAATCGTACTGTCCAAAAAAAAACCATACTGCCCCGAACAAAATAGCATGTCAAAAATGAACTATCAAGGCAACTTACCTATTTCAACCTGTGTTCAATGTACCCTCCATCTTCTTCGTCCACCAATCGAAACCGTTTTTTCGATCCCTAGAATCCCAAATGGCATCATCCATTGGATGACAGTCTGGTGATTGGAGCGGCCAGTCGTTCTTGTGAATAAATTCTGGCGAAGCCTCCTCCAGATGCTTGCGATACCTTGCTAATATTTTGCAAGAGATCAGTTTACCAATAGCTGAGATACGACCAGTCGAACATGGGAGTATTTTTACACATAAAATAAATAGAAAACCTATATTGCAAAAATATATCTATATTTTATCTACAGTTGCTCAACTACCATAAGGACTGTTTGAATCATATTCCCTGGCCCGCATCCTCAGTCGAAATGGAACAAAGTAATACCGTAAACGCAAAGTAATTTATCATATGACTTTAGTCAACGACTTCACTCATCAAATTTTGTCGGAGAGTTGACTTCTGTTGACGAGCTCTGGTGTTCAGTTAACTCGTCTACATGTCAACTCGTCTACAGTTAACCCGTCTACAAAATGAGTTAACCTGTCTACAACCTTGAGTTAACTCGTTTTGCAAATGATTGAAAAAAAGATGTTATTTGTTTATTATAAAACTGGTGGTTTCGATTTAATAACGATCGGAAATATCTTTGTGCTTCATACATGGTTCGGTAGGCCTAGTGAGCGATCATTCCATTAGGCCTAACGGAGATCTGCGGTAAAATGTTATGATAGCAATTTAACACATCAATTATTAATTGACAATGAAAACACAATACTGTTTTGAATATGATTTTTACCCACCAAACTTTAATAATAGGCCTAGATCTATGCCATTTTGATCCGAATTAAGATGAGGAAAATCAATAAATCGTTTGCTATACACTTTAGCATTTTACCCCAATCAGCACAAATAACACCTGCCGTGATACTATCTATTTTTAGTATAAACATAACCTCCTTTTCCCCGATACAGATTATAAGTAAAAGTAAAACCAAAAGTAAATTATGACAATCTGATCTATAATAATAGAGAATTCACGTATACATAAAGCTATGCCTATATATATTCACGTATTGTAATAAACTGAACAGTGTTTGAAAAAAACAGCTAATGCTCTGGAAAAATTTCTGAAATTTCAGTGAAACCAAAATTACAGCACACACATGGCTATCACACATCTATTAAATGATATATTCGAAAAAGATAAAGGTTTAAGTGACCTAGCTCATGAAACTGTGATAATCATGTTCCAGAATTCAACGAGATCCTAGACTGTGAAATAACAGCTGATGAGATAAGATCAACTGCGCATACAATTCCAACATCAACATTCATCCCATCCATATGTCAGGTAGTGACCAAGATCCTAAAGCCCCCTCTACACATAAAACATTTGATCAAAACATCATCATACATTTGTATGACCGTGTTCGTAAACAAATGTTTGATTGTCTGGACTGCTTTCCCAACAACGTTCAACATGTTTGACGCTGTTTAAATTTGTAGCTGCATGTTTCATCTTTCCAACAAATGTTGCCTATATTTAAATTGGTTATCAGTCTGTAACAAACCTCCCCGCGTGTCTTTGCTTTCAGAATAGCAGTCGACATGGATAAGTGTGAACAGTGAATGCAATACATCTCATTATTGTATCTTTGCAATTAATAGTACCACTAGGGTCGTAACTTCATCAAGGACAATGAGGCAAATACATCATACCGAATGTAACGAAAAGTAAAAATAACATAAAACAAATTTTATATAACAGATTAAAAATATAATGATTTTATCCGCTTATATGACGTCTGTGGTGGTTACCGTTTGAAGTTTACTAAAGCCTCGTAATGAAAGATAACAGAATTGTTGCCTCATGGAAACAAAGACCTCAGTTACAGCCCTCACCAAATTTGCTAATAATATATGAAGGAAGATACATACATACGTAAAATATTTCTGAAGCTTGCCTAGTCAGCTGTGGCCCCTGATAAGCATCATGCTGACTTCTTCGTTTGATCCAGTCACTGACCCATTGGCGAACATTTCACGCTCTTCTCTTTCGCCTTTGTCGACGAAGGTCAAAATAAGTCTGATTAGTAATAAAGACGGGTCAGGACTTCCAACTTCCGACCTCCAAGTTTTTTTTTTCACTTCCGACTTCTAATTTTTTTTTCATTTTATATTGATGAGATCAAATAGTATTTTCTTTCATAATTGGTCATACATGGGGATACAAATGTTGGATCATGTTCGATGATGTTGGAAATTGTAGACATAAATCCAAAACAAGCTTGAACACGGTCAAACAAATGTATGGTGATGTTTTGAACAAATGTATGATCGCGTACACGGTGCTTAAAAACTACAGTGGAATTGCTTTGCTTTCGGCCTTAAGTAAAGTCTTCACAAAAGTTCTAAATTATAGGCTGACAAAATGGTGCGGAATTAATTATTTATATTTAGAAGCACAGGGTGGGTACTGGAAGGGGTATTGCAAAGTAGATTAGATATTCACATTGCAAGGCATATTTATAAACCCTGACGATTCTCTACCATTTACCGTAATGAAACATAATCCCAACCTTATATGAATCGTTTCATTGAATATTTTTAAGGGGGGCTCAATTATATGATTCAAAAAGTCAATAATGAAACTATATATATACATTGAAAATATGTGTTTTAGTGTTTCACGGGGTTGACAATCAACAATGATAATAATCAACAATTACACCAGATGTAAACGAGGGTGTTGTATAGCAAACCTACATACAAAACAGTTTAAGTCAATTCCTGCTGTTATTTGGTGTTCAAAGGCCATCAGACAATTAAAAGCCTTAGAATTGCTCTTTGTCTATATAAAACGATAAAAAACAGGACATTTTTATACGCCCACATGAAATGTCCGCCGGTCAATCTCTCGTAAACACTCTACAAGACACAATTCTTGACGGATTTTGACAAAACTTGGTATGAATGTTCGCAATCACCCAAGAATGAAACCTATTGAAAATCAGAAGAATCGATTATTGCCCTTGTTCTTGAAAACGCGTTCACTTTTTAGCTCGTAAACACTCGAGGAGGGACAATTCTTGATGTATTTTAACGAAACTTGGCAGGAGTGTACGTAATCACCCAAGGATGAACCCTATTGAAAATCAGAAGAATCGAAAAATATTTAGTATGAGTTATTGCCCTTGTTCTTGAAAATGCGTTCAATTTTTAGCTCGTAAACACTCTAGAAGGCACAATTCTTGACAGATTTTGACGAAACTTGATGTGAGTGTTCGTAATCACCCAAGGATGAACCCTATTGAAAATCAGAAAAATCGAAAAATATTTAGTATGAGTTATTGCCCTTATTCTTGAAAACGCGTTCAATTTTTAGCTTGTAAACACTCTAGAAGGTACAATTCTTGACGGATTTTGACGAAACTTGGTCTGAGTGTTTAAGTTATTGTCCTTGTTCTTGAAAACGCCTTCACTTTTTAGCTCGTAAACACTCGAGAAGGGACAATTCTTGATGTATTTTAACGAAACTTGGCAGGTGTGTTCGTAATCACCCAAGGATGAACCCTATTGAAAATCAGAAGAATCGAAAAATATTTAGTATAAGTTATTGCCCTTGTTCTTGAAAACGCGTTCAATTTTTAGCTCGTAAACACTCAAGAAGGTACAATTCTTGGTGGATTTTGACGAAACTTGACATGAGTGTTTGTTATCAACCAATGATAAACCCTATAGAAAATCAGAAAAATCGAAAAATAATTATTATGAGTTATTGCCCTTGCTATTGAAAACGCATTCGTGATCACTCTAGAGGGCACAATTCTTGACAGATTTTGATGAAACTTGGTGTGAATGTTTGTAATCACCCAAGGAAAATCAGAAAATAGCCAAATAGCCTATTTATGGTCCACTGTCACACTGCCTGAAAGTTAATGGAGCGGCCACATTGAAAGTTCAATTATTGTAAGACGAGTTCAAAATAGGTCCAGAAATCGTGATTTTGTTGATATTTGGAGTGTACACATTCGAGGGAATTTGGAAAATACCGTTATCATTCAGTGGACTGTCGATTTCGGCTCTGTGAACGTACGAAGGAACGACATCGAGGCCGTTTATCGATTAGTTTATTCAATTGCTTCAATTTACTAGGAACAATAGTACTACTGTCCACTATTCCGATTTCGATACCATGGCATGCCAAATTCCGTGTTTTCGTGCATTGACATTGACGAATCGGGTGGTAGTCTACTTTATTTCCGAATGCGAAAATAGAAATGAACTTTAGCTGTCTCTTTTTTATAAAGGAATTAACAACACTTGACAATACCGTATACATATTTTTAAAACACTGGAACATACTTTCAAAATACCTTTAGCCGTCACTCTGTAATTTTTATTTCAATTAGGCTACGTTCATAATAGGGCCAAATATCATAGTCCTTTACAATGAAGATAAAAAATGATGAATAATTAAAGTGTTCTGTAATTAAGTGTTGCATGAAATATTATAAAAACTGGTATTCATATTTAAATCTCCCATTAACATTCATTAAATTGACTTGTAGAGAATCAGAACGCAAGATAGTATATAATGTTAGAACTGGGTAAGGTCTCCCACTCACCAAGATAAGCCACTGACAGTCTTTATAAGGAGGAATATCCAAATTTACATCGTCTGCTAATTTATAATAATAATGATAACCAATTTGTTAACCAAATCTTCCTTGGAGTCA